GGTGTAAAGTTTGCATCAAGTGCACTTTTCCAGGGAAACAGACAAGCAGGTTGTAGCTGCAAAAGCTACTTATGAATTATTAGAGAGTGTTGCCACACACAGCATGAACTTGTGTAGAGGAGGTAAGAACTTCGAGAAAAGCCACTTTTTATTGGGTTGTCTAAACAAGGATAATAGGAATAATCAACAATACAGATAAATAGACCCAAGTCTTCTCACATTATTTGCATATCACAAAAAATAGCATAATAAGTTTGCAGTGCTATCTACAGCATATGGTTTATTATTAGAGGTCAATGTATAAGTCCTTGGTTTGTGAACTGGTTTAAACAAATACAGAAACAGAGGGGAAGCAGGATAGAAGAGTTAACAGATAACATTCAACAGTGCACAGCTAAATGCCTAATCAGGAGCCCTTGTGCTTAGATTAAGTATGAGTAATAGTTCTTTTCCCCCTCTTATGTTACCAATGAAACAATATAAGGTGTTCATATATTGATGAATGTGGGAGGTGGGCTTCAAAGCGAAGATAATAATTCATGTTTAAATTTACATTTATATCAACCAGATTGAGCCAAATGCTGATGGGGGGATTGCTCATTTTCTGGAATACTGGCATATGCTATGAAATTAAACCACAGCCATCTTTCTTGATCTGCCCATGTGTCAACTGCAGTTTATTTGTTAATCTCTCAAGGAGGGCTGTTTCCCAAGCCGTTTTGAACCAATTGCCCATCTTTCTGCCAGAAATGTCTTCCCAGTGTCTGGTTATGTTGCGTCTCACCTCATGTCTTAATTATTTATTATGTAAATCCAGTTGTCTTGGAAATATATTTAATAAAGATAATTCTGGTTTTATTTCCATTTGTTGTTATTTTATTAATTTATTGCAACATCAAATCCCAGAAAGGCTGGATTTTTGTACAGTCATGTCAGGAGCTGGTTAGACACTCATCAGGGCTGGATGCTGATGAGAAAAACAAGCTTGCGCCATCTTCCATGTGACATTAGCCTTGCTAAGCAATATCAGAGAGCATCTTCGGTCCAGATGCATGTCATTATATGGAGTTGCCTTATTTTATTTTCCTATATATTAATTAAATTTATATCCCACCCTACCTCCCAACCCACCACTACCAAGGAGCGAAAGGTGGCAAACAACAACTGAGGAACCACTAGAAAACATAATTAAAACAATTCAAATACGAATGCAGACTGGGAAAGATCTCAGGACTGCTTCTCCTGGTATGTCCCACGGAGGACCTTATGGTCTTCAAACAAAAACATCTTGGAGGTCCCGGGCCACAGGGAGGTTAGGCTGGCCTCAACCAGAGCCAGAGCTTTTTCGGCTGTGGCTCCGATCTGGTGGAACACTCTGTCACAAGAGACTAGGGCCCTGCAGGACTTGACATCTTTCCGCAGGGCCTGCAAGACAGAGCTGTTCCACCAGGCCTTTGGCCAAGGCACAGCCTGACCCCCTCCTTTGGTCATTCTTCACAGAACTCTAGCCCAATGGTTGCCATCAATTTGATTTGAACTGATTTTATAATGAATTGATTTTAGAATGCTGTATTATTTTACTGTTGTTAGCCCCTCTGAGCCCGGCTTTGGCTGGGGAGGGCGGGATATAAATTATTATTATTATTATTATTATTATTATTATTAAACAGCTTGCTTTAAGAGGAAGGCTTTCAGTAGGTGCCTGCCTTGTATCCAAAGGGAGGGAATTCAAAAGGACTCAGAGCAGACCTGTTGCAAATAGTAGACAAACTTACTTATGACCTTTAATTTCAACGTGTCTACTCCAATTTAGTTATAACCATTAAATTCAACGCGTCTACTGCAAGGAGGACCAAGCAGAGTATGTTTCATACACAAAGGGCACTGCTCTGAGAGCAGAAACGGGGGGGGGGGGAGCGAGCCTGTGGATGCTCTTTTCTAGAAATAATGCTTACCAAAGAGAAAAAGGCTGCTTACTATGGAAAAATCAATGTGGTCTTGGGCAGCCGCCAACGTCCAAAGGAGCCAAAAGAAGAAGGAATGCCGTGCTGCTGAAAGACTATCGTCTTCCATCAAAGAGAGGAGAAAAGAGAAATGCTTTCTCGTCCAAACTGCTGACTCAGTGATAACCAGAGTCGAAGATTATGAGGCAGGCTGTTCTGGGCCCAGCCAATGTCAGCAGGGCGCGCATACAGACACGGAGGAAAAAACAGCTTCCACGAGGAGACGGGTGAGATGAAATAGGAGCAGGAGGCTAACACCAGGGCTCAGAGGCAGCAAAAGGAGGGACAGCCTTGCCAAAAGAGATAATGGAACCCTTGGAATGGTTTCCTATACTCCTGTTTTCTCGTTCCTGCTTTCTTGATAGATTTGCCGCTTCAGCATGCCAAGGTAGTAAACAGCGAGGACGTCTATGCATCAGCTAGCTACCTTTGGAACTGCTTTAGTTTTCGCCATTTGCCATCTTGACCAATGAAGGAAGCACCCAGAGATGTCAGGAGAGGGCTTTATAAGGTATTCCAAAGGCAAGTGCACACTATTAATCATCCATATAGTAGCTGCATACAAAATACCTCTCTCTCTCTCTTTTAAAAAACCCCCCCACTTCACAACCAGGCTCTGTCATTATTCTTTTTCGCCTTTTCTACAGATTGGAAGCAGATGTCGACGGGGGCTTTTTTCCTAAGGCCACACAGATAATTGCTAGCTAAACAAACCTCGGAATCCAGGTTTACCAGCTCAGCTCAGTTTCCCACTCAAGGACTAGGAGTGTTACTAGATCTAATAAGCCCTGCTCTGTTTTGTTTTCAAATTCTTGTAATTAATAAATGAATACTGCCTGACCGGCTCTACCGTTAGGCAGGGTGAGACAGCCGCCGCAGATGGCAGGTGCTGAGAGACAAGGAGAAAGCGTAGCTGTTTGGGACACACCATGCTGCCTTGCATCCACAAAGTTTGACACACCGCTTTGTGCTCAATATGATAAAAAGCGGTATATAGAAGCTTATAGTAAAAGAATTCAGTCTTTCACCTCAACACACATCATTGCATATTGGCATTTAATAACAGAATATAAAATGCACCAAGCAGGACAAAAGTTGCAGGGAGGAGGGGGAGAAACGAGGAGAAACTGGAAATCTTTTTGCTGTCCACATGCAGAAGAATATGGATATTGTCGTTTGTTATATTTTTAGGCCACCCTACATTTCAAATGGATGCCAAGGTAGCATATACAAAACAAATTCAATACCTTGCTATGCAAATGCAGTTATCACAATACACAAAGCGCAACAGGCTGAATAATAGTAACTGTAAACTGTGAAGGTGTTTTTGTACAGGTACTGTAACGAACTGGGTTTACAGGTAAGACCTCTCCCTTCCAGCAGGTGCTTCTAATCTCAGCTCGTTACATACAGTGAAGATACCAGGTAGCCTGACATCTGGCTGGTTGATAGGGGATCAAATACTCATTTCGCTCATTATAATGCACATCAATCTCTGACTTTTGTCTTCTGGGTTTCTGGGGGTTTTCCTGTTGTTAATCTGTCTCTCACAGCTACAATAAACCATTACAATCATGGACTGGTCATTTCTTCGTCAGAAGGTAAACGGGCAGATTTAGTAGGGGATCAGATACTTCCCCCCCTCACTGTATACGGTACATAGCCTATGAAAATACATTTCTTCTTTTCTTATCTTTTCTTATTGTTTCTTCTTGCGAGTCCTTAGGCTTTCTTTTTCTAGCATATACAGCAACCAATGAAATATCACACATGTATTTAAATACGCAGTCACGACATATTTAACAAATATGCAGTCACGACAAACTGGAAGGATATCCACACGCCCCTGCTGTTGCAAATACCTAACCTCCGCACAAATTAAGTTCTTTCCAATTGCAACAGAAAGAAAGCCACGGCTTGTTTATCCCCGATGTGTCACAGACCTACGTGTTCACATATTGTGGAATACGCTGTCTCCTTGGGAGCATCAGTGGCCCCAACCTTAATGTGTTTTAGCCATATGGCGAAGGTCCACTTGTTTTCCAAAGACTCTGAGTGACACTCTGATTTATTTTATACCTGGATGTCCCTTTAATTAATTATAATTAATTAATTAATGCCCCACCATTCTGCCAGTGCAGGAGCCAAAAGGGCTCAGGGCATCCAGTAAAACAGGTATAACTAAAACACATGCATTACATATAAATGTTTTTTTAAAAAAACAACAGTTAAGTAAGTAACCCTATTGAAAACAGCACTGGCAACACATAAAACCACTGAAAAGCACAACAAGGAGGACAAAATACAACACACACCCACAGAAGACCCTGCCACGTGAGCCAGCTGGTGGCCTGCTGGAACGACAAAGTCTTTGCTTGCTGGCAAAAGGAAATCTGCTTTGCTTCATCTGTCAGTAGATCAAGATGAAGCAGGTGGAAACAGGTGGAGGCAGAGGCACACCGACCGTCACCAACAAAAATTCAGGTTCATCGCAGGATTCAGCGCAATAAAAGCATTCCACACGTAACGTGAATTGGAATCAGAGTATTTTAATTACCTTCAGGAAAGTAAAGACTCACAGATAAAAACAACTGGGCATGCACGCAAGCTGGCAAAGTGTAGCTGAGTCATGCCAACCATGTGGGCACAGAAAGTATAAATTAACTTGTAATCGATTGGTTTGGATTAATGACAAAAATCCTAAACTTCACCATCTCAAAGCCAGAACTCATAATACATTTGAGAATTACACACCTTCTAATTGCAACCTTAGATTTTGAATTTCCACAGCATCACCACTTAAAAGAGCATGCAGGTGTCGCAAATATTTGTTTGAGATAGGTATGCATCACAGGGAGCTCCTGGTTTTCTCAAGCTCCCTGTGGCACATATACCTAGAGACTTATTTTTGGAGGAAGGAGTCCTGAATCATGTGTCCAATAATGTACTATAAATCTGCTATGGATGGCAGAATATGATAAAACCCAACAGTCTTACCTTCACCTGATGAGCCTGAAAGATCTATGATGACATACACTCTTCCTTCTGGTTCCAAATCAATCTGCAGTTGGAAAAAGCAAATATTTATTATTAGAATTCCACTGTGTTCTTTTCCTTGGGTGTGTTTGTTTGTTTGTTACTAAACGTCATCTTGCAAATCCTTGTACCGCATACTCAATGGAAGCCAGTGATTTTAAGGACTTGAAAAAGTCCATCAGATTCTGATGTGCCATCTCAATCCAGCCTCAGGTCTAAGTAGGAAGGGTCCTCATAAACATAAACTGCTGGATTTCAACCTCACAGGGTCCCCTTTCTTAATTACCTGAAGACAAGTAAGGGCAACACTTTATCTGATTCTTGAATCCACAACTCTGCATATTCCAAATGTTTGGGATAGGTAAACACATGTGTGTGGGGGGGGGGAATATAAATTATCAAGTGAACAATATCTTCAAACAGCCTTCCCCGGTCTCATACTTTCCAGATGATTTGGACTCCAACTCCCATAATCTCCAGCCAACGTAGCCAATGTTCAAGGATGCTGGAAGTTGTTGTCTAAAACATCTGGAGGGCACTAAGCAGGGGAAGACTGTAGTAAAGCAATTAAAATGTAACAGATGTTTACAGCCTTCAGAGCATCGTTGGCTTCAACACTGGCTCCCAAAAGAATTTATGAAAACTGTCGAGAGTGTCTTCATGTGTTGGAAACAGCAAGATGTGGATGTACAAGCAATTCATGCATCTACTGTCAAGGTTTTGGGATAATATGCATAATGAACAATGCTCTTCCTGCATTTGAAACATCTGCAGCTTTTCACTCAGGAGGCAAGCAAGTTTCCCCTCAGAAGTGTAATCCCAGCAGTAACAACAGCAGCTAGGATTCTTTATTGCTCAGAAGCGGAAAGTTCCCACCAAAGAAGAACGGATGAGCAAGATAATGGACTGTGCAGAACTGGCAAAATTAAGAGCAAAATTGAGAGAATCTAAAGATGAGTGTTTTATGGAAGAATGGATGCCTTTTCCGGACCTTAAAGAAATATTATATAATATGATGAACTCGCAAGCAGGATTTGAGCTATGAGCAACAGAAGTAATTACAGTAGTACCTTGGTTCTCAAACACCTTGCTACTCAAACAACTTGGAACCCAAACACTGCAAACCTGGAAGTAAGTGTTCCGGTTTGCGAACTGTTTTCGGAAGCCAAATGTGCTCCAATTTGAGTGTAACGCTGATGATCTGAGTGCCACACTTCCGTTTTGAGTGTTACGCTGACAATTTGAGTGTTACACTGAGGTCTGTCTGTTTTTGCTATTTATTTTGCGTTTCTGTTTTTGCGGCTCTTTTTTGTGTGTGACTGCGGAACCCAGTTCAGCTACTGATTGACTGATTGTGTGACTGCAGTACACTGTTTATTGCCTTCATTTTATGGATCAGTGATGTCGTTAGATAGTAAAATTCATGTTAAATTGCTGTTTTAGGGGTTGTTTTTGAAAGTCTGGAATGGATTAATCAATTTTGCATTACTTTCTACGGGAAAGTGTGCCTTGGTTTTGGAACGCTTTGGTTTTGGAATGGACTTCCGGAATGGATTAAATTTGAGAACCAAGGTACCACTGTAGATTTAACAAACAGAAGACAGCGTGCAGCAGAAGTGGGAAAACAACAACTCCATGGAAAAAGGGGTAGGAAGTCAACAAAATAACAGGGGGGATTAAATGTGTACTGGATTGTGCATGTTAAAATTGTTGCAGCTTATTAAGAATATCATTGGGGGGAAAGAAGTGTGATCCCAGGAGAGTGAAAGGCAGGATCCTCTTTCTGCCCTGTGTGAAGATGAGAGGTGCTCAGGCTACAGAGTCTCCGGACGTTCCACAAGGTGCAGCAGCCAAGAACAGGCCGTCTCCTGAGTGTCCTTGTCCGCCTCGAGTTGGCACAAAGGCGGCAATTTCCAAATGCTATTCTCGATTGACCTTCGAAATTGCGAGGGAACATGGGGGAGGAGCTGATCTCTTACACATGCGGTGGCTATATTTCAGGATGTTAACACAATACATATTTAGTGCAATGCATATTTGGCACCAATGCACAGTGCCTGCGGTGCAGAGCCAAGGTCTGAAAAGAACTTTTTGGTTCCTGTAATTGCTGTCTTTTATAGCAGGGCAGTCCCAGGCTTGTGTGATTGACTTTGGTTTTTGTCTGTCTGTCTGTCTGTCTGTTTGTTTGTTTGTTTGTTTGTTTGGAACTAGAAACCAAAGTTCCACCCACTGGAACCAGGTGCAAAATAGGGGGACAAAACCTATTGCTTACTGCAGGGTTATGGAAGCCCTCGGACCTCCCTATGTTGCTGGACTCCAACTCCCATCAGCCCCAGCACAGCCAAATGGCTCGCAATGAAAGCAGATGTAGTTCAGCAAAATCTGGGAGGACACTGTTTCCTTCATCCCTGACCTATTGCATTCCATGAGGCACCTACTCCCGAGTTACAACAAATAATGCGTATTTATAATTGCTGATATTAAACAACTGTGCAACCATACTGGCACTTTTCATCATCATCATCCTCATCATTATCTATTACTTATACCCCATCCATCTAGCTTACCCTAAGGAGTCTCAAAGAGACTAACATTCTCCTTTCCCCCACAACAAACACTGTGAGGTGAGTGGGGCTGAGAGACTTCAGAGAAGTGTGACTAGCCCAAGGTCACCCAGCAGCTGCATGTGGAGGAGCAGGGAATCAAACCCAATTCACCAGATTACGAGTCCACCGCTCTTAACCACTACATCACACTGGCTCTTCAGAGCCGTCTCCTCCATCAATCTGTCTAATCCTCTTTTCCTATGATCCTGCGCATGTTCAGTTGGAAGCAAGCCCCACTGACTTTAATAGGGCTTACTCTGAAGTAATGTAGGCAGTATTGCAGCCTGCACCAAAGAAAGCACATAGATGCTAAACCGCGTTGACTGCGACCAATGCTAAGTGTTAACTCTGCAAACTGTGTCCACGGCAGGACAGAGAGACGGGAACGCAGCATTCAAACCACGTCCCTCTAAATCCTCGCGGGATCTGCTACAAGGAAAAGAGAATCCAGAACCACACTAAAATGCTTAAATAAGCATTGCGCTCATCCACAATCATAATGACTACTGTGTGCCAATAATTAAAGGAAGTGAAAACTCTCTCTCTCTCTCTCTCACACACACACACACACACACACACACACACACAAACACAGTTGAGCATCAATGCCCCGCAAACTGCACTTTGGTCATTAGTTCTGACAAGTGGCGTTTACTTTTTAATTATTTACGATAACGTTTCGGTAATGCGAGAACTCTGCGGATCCTGCCAGGATTACATCATTGCTGGGAAGAGGAAGAAGAACTGCCCTTTTAGGGAATGTGCCAGAGTATTAATGCTATATTAACATCTTGGTAGATGTTCCTATTTATTTATTCCCCCCTTTTAAGAGTGGCCGGAGTGGCTTTCGATCAAAGCGGCTTACATCTGGACCTCGCCATCTCAGAAAGTGGAAAAGGCAGATAATTATCGGATTGCGTTTCATAAAGAAAGTGTGTGGTGGTGGGAGTAGGGGTGAGTAGGGAGAGAGAGAGATAATGCTAAGGACTGGAGGGAATTTTCTGCCCAGGCACGACACGCATTGTCTAATGTGGTGCTATGTCTATATTGAATTTTAACCTGCAAACAAAGCTGACTTGATCCATCTATATGAAAACGCACGAAATTAAAACCTCCCAGATTATCCCCCTAACTACAAAGAGGGGCCAGAATGCACAGGGTGTGAGCGGCGAGACAATTAAAAACGATCTGTGCGTATGAGCAGGAAAGAGTTGCAAACTTTTTTAAAAATAGGAAATGGTGACAGTTGTACTGGTGAGGATTCCCACCCCCGATGAAATTCAGCAAAATATCAGCATTTCCTGTGGGATCAAGACAGGCACTGATAATGTCAAAATGCTCCCCTCCCCTCCTTTGTAAACGTTTTAAGTGCAGTCTATTAGAAGATCAGAAGAGCAGCGTGCGAGGTAGATGTTTTGAAGTTAAGAGATGATGGCTGCCTTTGAACCATGTCAGTAATATTCTGCAGATGGCCCCCTAAAATAAAAGGAATCCATATTCCTTGTTGTCCCAGCTTATACCATTCACACACCACGTTCACTTTCAATCCTTTCTGTGATTTCAAATCCCTTAGATAGCGCCAACCTAACCTTTACATTGCGGGAACGTTAAATATAAAGTTGGGGCAGAACCACATCATAAATGTAAAGCCAGAGGCGGAGCTAGCTGCTCCAGCACCAGGAACATGCTGTGCACCCGGGGGCAGGGCTAGCATGTGGGGGTGGTGAGGTCACCCCTTCCCCAGGGATGACACCTGGGCAGGCTGTAACTACTACACACCCCTTCCTCCGCCAGTGTGTAAAGCACATTCAATATACAGTGGTACCTCGGGTTACATACACTTCAGGTTACATACGCTTCAGGTTACAGACTCCGCTAACCCAGAAATAGTACCTCGGGTTAAGAACTTTGCTTCAGGATGAGAACAGAAATCGCGTGGTAGCGGCGCAGCGGCAGCAGGAGGCCCCATTAGCTAAAGTGGTGCTTCAGATTAAGAGCAGTTTCAGGTTAAGAACGGACCTCCGGAATGAATTAAGTACTTAACCCAAGGTACCACTGTACATGTCTTTCAATATTCCTGGGAACTGTAGTTTCCTCATCGCAGTACAGTGGTACCTTGGGTTACATACGCTTCAGGTTACAGACTCCGCTAACCCAGAAATAGTACCTCGTGTTAAGAACTTTACCTCAGGATGAGAACAGAAATCGCGTGGTGGCGGCGCAGCGGCAGCAGGAGGCCCATTAGCTAAAGTGGTGCTTCAGGTTAAGAGCAGTTTCAGGTTAAGAACAGACCTCCAGAACGAATTAAGTTCTTAACCCGAGGTACCACTGTACTGCAATTTCCAGTACCCTTAACAGGATTCTTTGAGTGAAGTCACATGCTTTAAACGTGTGTCAGGTGTGGATCTTTGGGGAAGTT